TATTGTCTAGTAGTATGCAATAATATGCATTTTTTTATGCAAAATGCAAGAATGTGCAAAGTAATTGTTTTGCAATATGTAAGAATATGCAGTGTTCAAATGCAATTTTCAAATATATGCAAAGTTATTGTCTTGAAATATGCAAGAATAGGCAAAGATTTTTGCAATATGTAAGCATATGCTGGTTTTTATTGCAATATTGCAAGAATATGCAAAGTTATTGTTTTGCAATATGCAAGAATATGCTTTTTTTTTGTGTAATATGCAAGGATATGCAAAGTTATTGTTTTGCAAAATGCAAGAATATGCATTTTGTATTGCAATATGCAAGAATATGCAAAGTTATTGATTTGCAATATGCAAGAATATACCACTTTTTTATTGCAATATGCAAAAATTTGCAAAGTTATTGTCTTTCAATATGCAATAATATGCATTTTATAATTGCAATATGCAAGAATATGTCAGGTTTTTTGCAATATGTAAGAACAGTTATTTATTGCAGTATGCAAGAATATGCAGAATTGTTTTGCAATATGTAAGAATATGCAGTTTTCAAATGCAATTTTCAAATATATGCAAAGTTATTGTCTTGAAATATGCAAGAATAGGCAAAGATTTTTGCAATATGTAAGAATAGGCTGGTTTTTATTGCAATATGCATGAATATGCAAAGTTATTGTCTTGAAATAGGCAAGAAAATGCAAAGTTATTGTCTAGTAGTATGCAATAATATGCATTTTTAATGCAAGAATATGCAGAGTTATTTTTCTGCAATAAATAAGAATATGCAGTTTTATGATGCATTGTTCAAAAATATGTAGTTATTGTTTTAAAATATGCAAAATATGCCGTTTTTGTATTGAAATATGCATATAATATGCAGTTATTGTCTTGAAAAATGCAAATATATGAAAAGTTTTTTCCTGCAATATGAAAGACCTTGCAATTCTTTTCTTTATTGAAATAAGCAAGAATATGCTAACTTTTTTTCTTGCAATATGCAAGAATATGCAGTTTTTTTATTGCAAAATGCACGAATATGCAATATTACAACTAATTTATTTCTATAGCACTATAGCAATACAACAGATTTTCAGATGTTTCAAATCGTGAAAATAAAAGTGTTAATGTTGCAAAGTTCTTCAGTTATGCAAATTTAATTTCAGCTTTAAAGTAGCTGTAAAAAGACAATATTGTCATTTCCTTCCTGAAATGCAGACTTGTTGTAAATCTGTTGCAGAGAAATACTTTCCAGCTGGTTGTAGCAAACATGGAGTCGGCGTCGTATGCCATCCTGCTGTATCCAGAGGAGAGCATGCAGTTCGGCTCCACTCTCATGAATGATGAGGATCAGCTGGTTGAAGTCGGCTTCAATGAAGGGAAGGTGGCTGGCTGGTTCAGCTGGGGGTCCACTGTTTATTATAGTTTTAGTTATTTCAGTACATCAAGTTAGACTAAATTAACTAGCTTTGGCAACTATTTTATTTTATTTCAGTTAGCATTTCTTTTATTTAAGGAAACGAAAATGTTTTTTATCTGATTCACATCTGATTTTCCCTCTGGTCTTATTAAATATGAATGTGTTGCAACTCCTCTTCACTCTTCTCAGGGAGACGAACTCGGGCCGGCCTGGCGTTTGGGTCTACGAGATCGGCACGTCTCCGTTTTTCACCTCCATCACACCTGGAGAGGTCACAGAGGTCACAGAGGTCACGACTGAGCAGACTATGGTGGACACTCCGGGGCCCGAGCCGTCCGT